TTGGTAACCACCTTACATGGGTATTATATTAGATGACTTAGAATCAAGCTTTATTTAGATATAATCCAGAACTCAAGTTTACTGGAAAACATACCAAAATACCATTTAAAGTGTGGGGTTTTTACTTTTCTTTAAATACAACTACTACAGTTGTTCTGAATTCACAAACATTTCTCTTTATTAAAGCACACTTCCTATGCAAAGCCAACTGGTTTATTTAACAGGAAAACACAGTTTATATATATGTATACATATAAATGACAACCCATCAAAGAAATAAAAACAATGCTGGTATCATCTCTAACGTGGTGGACAGAAGGCCAGTAACATGATGAGACATACAAGCAATCTTAGTTATTGCTTAACCTAAACATGCACAGTAAATGCGGTCAGTGTAGGCGCCCCCCCTCTTATCTCCCAGCAACATTCAGATAAGTTCTTTCCTGGGGTGGAGAGGACATACGTGTATATAGGAGACGGGAGGGAGGGAGGGGGTGCTGTGTTGCTATCCTGGAAGTGTGACAGGGAGCAGACTACCAGAAAAGTTCATCAACCATGCCACTTGCTTGCCGTCCTCAGAGTGCCCAAGCTTCTAGTTAGTTGTCCTCCAATCTACTCTCCCCACAAAGAAGAAAGCTTTCCACATGAAAAGCCCTTCTGATTTGCATTAGAAATCTGTGGACTTGTAATGGGTCATCTGTCATACGCAACAATTTGGCACTAGATGAAATAAGGTTTGATTGTAAGCTATCACATCTGTAATTGCCAGTAGAAGACAAAAAGACATGCTAACAAGCTGGTCACCGAAACAGAATCAATTAACTTACAGACATGTTTGTCAACACAACTGTATTTCATATTTTCTGTAGAAATACACATACACCTTGGTGCCATGAATTTAAAAAGCAGTACTATAGATCCCAAGTTTAGCTCACCTGGGGCAAAATGCTGACACTTGCTATTTTCTTTACTAGTAAATCATTACATGACGATTTCTTTTTCTCAACAGAGACATACAAGCTGACAGAGGACTCTGGAAAGCTTTTCAAACAGGCAGTGGACTGCCTGCTTATGAAGGCTGCTTTATCACCCTGGCACCCATTGCTTCCCCTTGCCAGAGTGCACCGTGCCACACCTCCCTGCTTCCCGAAGGATGCTGAGCATTCTGTACCTCGTGCAAACCCACAATAGCCATAGCTCACCCCTAAAAGCAAGCTCAAAGTCAGCAGACGTTGTGCTCTGGCATTAAAGGTTCCATAGGTTCCAAACTTCTGCCAACACAACGGGGAGAACCACCTCAGTGCTGAGCAGGAGGGCAGCTACCCCATGTGAAGGTCCGCACGCGGGGCTGGAGCGGCTGTACAAGAAGCGTTGCTACAATGGGTGCGAGCGTCTGCTCCAACAGTGCCAACAGGCGACAGTACCTGTTGTTGATACTGATGTCCATTTATTTGTGCTCAGCATAGAAAGGGAACGCTTAGACACCCAGCTGAACAAGCAGACACGGTGATCGTTCCCGGAGGAACGACTTTTCCTCTTCGGGGCACAAGCCATAGGCACCAGGAGGAACAGCCCTGTGTTTCCACGGAGTTAACAGACCCGTGCTTGCCCCGACGGGTGGGAGCAGGGGCAACATAACCTGCGGGCCCTGGGGTGAATGTCACTTCCCCGGCCGATTCGGTGTAGAACGATATCGCTGAGGCCGAGACAGAGACTCGCCACAGCTCAGCTCCAGCGTCGGCGCCCCTCACTCGGGCGAAGCGCCCCCCGCGGCACCGGCACCCAGCTCCGCGCCTGCCCAGCCGCCGGGGCCCACACTC